TTCAAATCACTCTAAATCAAGATTACTGGTACCATCTTATTGCACAAGGATCGCTGTATGCGGAAGTGTTTAGTGATCTAGTTCAGAAAGTTAAAGTGGCCAGAACACGGTCCCTTTTGGACAGGGCTGGGTTTTGGCTGGTGGGGAAGAAGAGAGGATGGGATCACAGAAACTCTGACTCCAGTTACTTTAAGCCATTGTGGAATCACACCATCAGTGGTGATTTCCAAGGCAGCCTGACCCTGAGGAGGGCCAGGCTGGTAGGTTTTCAAATACCCTAAAAAAAAAAAAAAAGAAAAAAAACCCCTTAAACTGCAAGGGTCACTTGCGCAAGAGATTGTTGAGGAGGGGGGCAGCTATGTGGTTTTGTGAACTCTATGGCAAGCTACAGAAAGCTAAGCAACTCTACCAAAAGAATCTAGGTGAGGGAAACTGAAGATGTGAAGATTGTTAAGCAAAATAGAACACAAAGTGTAATTCCAATCCAGTTTGGAATAAGGAGTTTAACCTCATGGCCCACTTAAACAGAGCTTTATTCTCCTTAAATCTTAAGCTTGCCTAGTACAAGCAATGATTCCAGACGAGCTTAGCAAATGTGAAGCACCTTCATTTTCTTTAACAAAAATGAAAGGGTACATGCACGTACTTCCTGGGGAAACTGCACTTGGAGACATATTTAGAAGACTTAAGGCCCAGAGGGTATCTCCTGGTTCACAAAGTATGACTAGTACTTTTAAGTGCTGTGTTCAGGAAGCAGTTTCTTTTAGTGGACCCAGGCTAGTATTTTTGCTTCAGATAGGAAGCGGAAAGACATCTCATAGCTCGGAGTCAACCGTGAAACTTTACAGACAAGCTAAGGATTGAGCCTCTCGATCCTCACTGGAAAGAAGGTAGGTTAACCCAATTAATTTGGATGCGGAAACAAGCAATGTTGAAAGTCCCGGCAGAAAAGACTATTCATAGCAGGCCATAGCAGCAGATTATGGAAAGATTACATGTAAATACCTTCCTGGCAAAGGGGCATTTGTAGCAGGTGCCAGGATGTGTATTATTGCTTAATTAACCTAAATGGCATCATGAGTTCCAGAGTATTCTAGCAACCACAGAGCAGCTCTCCTTTGCTATACTGGGTTGGGTACAACAGTAAAGAGGATAGAGGTGCTGTGCATCTGCAGAAGGAAGCATATGCCACAACAGGTGATCTTATAACCTGGGCAGTACTGCTAGTAAAGTGCCCTAGCGCACACTTTGATTATTGATTTATGTTAGTGCTCACACTTACCATATTTTCACAGCTATTGTTACTTTTGATAGCTAAAATAAGCTATTATAAATATACTTACCACACACAGTGTGTCACATCTTCTTACTGTGTAGGCAATTTTGCAGAATATATCCTTCTTAATGAAGCAAAGGACCTAAATGTTCAGAGGATACCAGGAAACTGTGCGCATACGTAAAACATTTGCAGATTTCCAGCCTTAACCTGCAAAGGAAACTGCAGTTGCAGTGTGATCAATGATATTTAAATATAGGAATTGAGTAACAGTAGCTGTAACCATAGAAAAGACAAAGCAGTAGGGGTCACACAGGATGGAAAATTGTACTTCTCCCTTTGATTCCTTGTCAGAGGAGTAGGTATTTTTAACTCCTGTATGTTTAAGCCTCATGGGACTAGTACTTGACTTTCACTCATCAGCAGGATTTTATTACTGCTGTTGATGTTACTACAGATGTAAATTCAATGTATGTCCAAATGAACTTATGCACGTGACTCTAACCAGAAGCCTGGAAAGATCTTTGCTACCAGGATAAAACTATTTTCTATATGCGAATTCTTACAAGGCGGGAGGAAAGAGGGGATGCAAAGGAAAATGAAGGATGAAAAAGACACTATATCTCTGTGAATAATTAGGAACTTTATAAATAGAGGAAGTTGGATAGCAAAAATAGAGGAATTTGACCAACATCTGGCCACTTTGTTGACGTTTAGCTTCTAGGAGGGTTAATATGAATCGAGAGCATTCTGTGGCTAAGCAACTGGAATTGCTGGAATTTATTTAGTTTTCTCTTTGTTTAGTTCCTCCTTTCTTCCCTCAGCATTTCTGATATATCTCTGAACTAGACAAAGTGTAACAGTTTCTTTTGTAAGAGATATTCTGTAAACAGAAAGGGAGGATAAATTCATGTACTTCCTTTTATTTGCATTTAGGTATGGCTGCATTTTGGAAGGTTTTACTAATTCTGTGGATCATATTGATATCGAAGGGGTAGATTATGTAATTAGTATTGACTAATTATGTAATATATATATCACCCTATAGGAGCTTTGTAACCAACTTTAAGGAGACCCACTGAAAACTGTTTTGTTATCCAAGTATTCATCTATGTAATTCAAGTCACTCAGCTAGATAAGCCTCATCAGCCATACACCTGATCCCTGACGTGTTTTCGAATCCTTTTCAACTTCGTCTCACCTCCTGCTCGATGCAGGCGATAGCTTTATCCTACAATTTCTGCATTAGGCCTATAACTTCTAGATGAACAAGGTAGTGGCTTTCTACTGTTTCTTTCCTTAAAAAAAGCAAATACAGTAAAAAAAAAAACAACCTTCTATCAGGGTATAAACCACTGTATAGTCAACTGAAGTGAGGATCTGAAAACCATCAACTAGAGCACTACTTTTGGAAAAGCAGCAACTCAAGGAAAACTTACTGCATCCTTGGCAAACTGTTTCAGTATTAATTACCTTAATTTAAAATGGTACTTTTCCTCCTGACGTTCTTAGGTTTAAACTTCAGTCCACTGATCTTGTGGCACCCTTGCCTATCACAATGAAGGACTCCCCCTTGAACTAGCTTAGGCAAACCTAAGCGCTTCGATAAGGAACAGGATCCCATGCAGCTTTTTTGTAGGCTTTGAAGGTCTTTTCTTGCCTGAACGCTTCCTGATGCTTTTCTGTTTGTTTGCTGTTGTTTCAACTCTAGGGCAAAGGGAGTTTTTCTCTCTTCCCTTGAAGAAGAGAAACAGAAGCCTGCAAGAGCCTGCTTTCCTTGGCTCCTGGGGGAACAGGTCGGCTCCACCAGCAACAGCGGTTTTTGTTGTGTTTTCCCCACGAACTCGAGGGCCCTTGCGCGCATGGGGCTCGCTCGTTAACCGCCTGGAGGCTGCGAGG